ACCTATTCTTAGGGATGGGATAAGAAAGCGAATCTGGTCTGATAAGAAGTGACAGCATGATCGCCATTGCTATCGGTTCACGGTCATGACCTTTAAGTGTCTCCAACCAATCGTTTTCAGAGTTTTTCGGGTTAGAAGAAGTAGTGGGAGTTCAACAAAGGTTGGGATATCGGAACAGTAGCCCTATTATCACTAACCGGCCCGCTCGATGCAACGGACAGCGCGGTCCTGATTGTCCTGGGCGACGACCCCTGCAATATGGAATTATTTTTATTTTGTGTGTGCATTGGGGTTTTCTGGACGTGTACTCGCAAGGTATCCAGCCACTCCGCAGGAGAACGATTAGGGTTCTCGTCCAAAGTCTTCAGTTCTGACATGAATCTGACCGCAAGGCAACGGCGAAGCGAAGTAGAAGCCCATTTACTTGGATCAATTACTCTTCTACCGTTTTACCACCTGAGTAGCTAACTCGAGTCGAACCCCCAACCATGAGAACCAAGAGACTGGGAGTACTTCGTTTGACCTCTACCCTTTAACCTTCCAGTCATGATTGGATCTTCGGCTTGATAAAAGTCATCCTGTGTGGCTCGTTCATAGAGGTGCACACGCCGTCACACCAGGGTGCAGTCTCGTCGTGATGGTTTCTCCGAAGCATTGCTCGTGTCTTGTGGAAATATCCGTTGGGCAATGACGAGGTTGATCGACGTGTGTTAGGTGTGGTTAGAAGTAATAGCTCTGCACCGCCTCTGATGGCTTGGTCATGTTCTGCGCATGCTTGCCCAACGTCTTTCTCTTCGCATTCCCTCAGCACACGCTAGTCAAAGCTGGAAGAACCGACGTGGCGGTCAGACCATGACATGGTGTAGAGGTATGAGGAAGCTGGCTTCATTTGTAGCTCTGATTGATGCAGCCCGCCTTCGAGGTTGGGGTAAGCGAGATGAGGATTGTCGTTGGTTAGAGGCACTGGTAGATATGACCCATAACCGGAGTCAGTCTCGCGGTTTCTGCGCGGTTTTCCTGTTGAAATCCTGTGCCTCATCGGAAATGTAGTTTAGCAGACAGGAGATCTGTAAGTATACGGTGAAACAAGCAACAAATGATTCTTGCTGTCCATGATAACTGTCAGACCCCTATCTCATTCTGTCTTATATTCCAACCCCTCCAACGTTGCTAATGCGTCGTTCGCTTGTTCGCAAGCTTGGTGATCAATATGTATGTCCTGTAGTTCAGTTGGTATAATTGTTGATCATGGTATGTTGTGCACCCTTTTTAATTATTGTCTTTAAGCCAGCTATTTAGTTGAACCATGTGGAATGATTAAACAAACAAGTTTGAAGTACCACCAGCATAAAATATTGAAACCAAGCAACATAGATCTTTTGAGTAGAACCATATTCATTATATGGACACTAATTTTCACAAGGAAGATGCTTCTAAATGATGGATTTGGCACTGATTACTTGTTGATGGTGGTCAGTTTCAGTATCATGTGGCTTCAAAATCTCTGATCACTTCCATTGGAATATGTTTTCTACACTGTCTATATCTCCGAAGTCCCTGTATTTTCCTAGTTTGGTTCATATATCAGATCGTGAAATATTTCCGTTTATTTACAAAAAAAGTGGCCACGCGAAAAAACTTTTTGATTTATCTCTCCAGGCATTTACCTATTTTGTTCGATTAGTCAATGGATTAGTGCGCGATCTAAGCTAGTGTTGAATGAATTCTCCCTCGTCAGACACTACTCATCTTCAATACCCTAATTACATCCTCCATTCTTTCTAAAAATGATATCGTCATCTATATCCATCATTCTGTCACTTCTTCCCGACTTTTGCACTTAGACTTCTCTATCTGTGAATTTCAGCGTGTGGCTGAAACTTCGACTCCCTTCCTCCAACCACTACTTTTGTACTGTTTACCGCTCTTCGAGAAGCAGCGATTCTTCCATTTTTAATATTCTATCTTCCAACATTGAGGCACTAATGACAGCAGATCCTAACAACCAAATTACCACCAATTCCAAAGCGCGGTGACTCTTCCGACCCCAACAACTACAGTCCGATCACTCTCACTTCTGTAATTTCGAAAATGTTTGAAACCATAACCTCCGACCAGTAGCGTACGTTTCTCTCGAACGCGAAGGTTTGTTGAATGTCGGGCAGTATGGATTTCGCCCTAGTCGATCTACGGGTTACCTTCTGGCGCCCACATCATATTCTAGGTCGACTGCACTCAATAACAACGGAGAAACTCACATGGTCTCGCTCGAAATTCCACAGGCCTTCGACTATGTTTGGCCTGAAGGTCTGCTGTCGAAATTACCCACATTCGGATCCCATCCGTTTCTAATATCGTGGCTCCGATGTTTCTTCAGCAAGCGAACCATCTCCGTCCGAGTAGATGGGGTCCTATCTCAGCCATTTCCTGTGAGCGCCGGTGTCCCCCAAGTCTCCATACTTTCGTCCACCCTCTTCTGTTTATCAGCAATCTTTTGTCCAAAACTTCTAATCCCATCCGCTGCCGTCCGATAATGCCATTCTCTATTATTCTCTTTCTTATCCCACACCTCATCAAACAGCTACCAATATCAATCACTATCGTAATGTCGTTAGTGCTTCTCTTGCCTCCGATCTCGGTCTGATCTCACGCTTGGGGTTCTACCAACCATTTGTGTATTAATGATTCCGAAACTTCTCTCCTCTCAGTCTCTCTTAAATATGCCCCCTATTTTCTTCGATTGATTCTTGACTCTGTTTTTTTTCGTTCCACAAATTCTCCCTCCTTCATGGTTTTATCCGTAAATACTTCTCTCTGTTGGTCCCCTTTTATTTCTACACTTCCCCTTCGCGCTGCGCACAAAGTGGGGTTTCTATTCCACGCAAAGCGTTTCCTTACACCGAAGTACATTCGCCATGTAAACAAAACTGAAATCCGCCCGATGCTCGAATACTGCAGTCACACATGGGATGGAGCTTCGTATTCTCTCGATCGTGTTCAGCGTAAGGTCATCCGGTTGATCGACGAATCATCTTTAACTTCCAACCTGCAGTCGCTTTCCCATCGCCGGCAGTTGCTTCGTTATCTCTCTTCTATCGTACTATTTTGGTTTCTGCACTTCCAAACTCGCTTCACCGGTTCCCCTTCCGTTGACCTTTTCTCATGCGAGCAGTCACTCTTATCAGGTTTCTGACCCCAGATGTCGGACTTCTATCTTTGAGTCTGTTTTTTTCCCAAGGACTGCGAAAACGTGGAGCACTTCCCATTTATGTGTTTCCAAGCACTTCTAACCCTTTTCTAAAACAGGATTAGCAAATTGGTTCTTGAATGTTCCCCCACATACCTCCTCCTTACAGTATGATTCTGGAGTTTCCCCCTGTTGCTGTAAACCACTTCGTGTGTAATAACAGAAGGATACTCAGGTGTCATCTAGAATCTAAATCAAACGATGTTAATCCAAAAATGGCAGGAAATGTTTTCGTGAATGTTCCTTTCAAGAGAGACAGAGTTTTAGAAATCCTGGAACATGGGTTATTAGAAGCTACGAGCGACTTTTTCCTCTGCGGCGCATTCAAGACTCACTCAAGAGTAAACTATTCATTGTTCCATAGCTGACCGATAAATCGCCTCATCAGTCCCGTTCATTTGTTATGTATTAGTTCACGTGCAATTGTAGTGCTCGATTTAGTGGACAAACAACGAGGCGTTTATCCAAGAGAATATGTGAACATTGTCCGGTCGCTTTTCGAAAAGTAACTGTAAGAACAGCTCAATATTGTAACATCTGGTTGACAGTGGGCACAGGATTGACTCAGAGACATAAGTTTCTTCACATCTAAGAATCACACCAATGGATTACGTAAGAGGATCCTGACAAATGTGTGTTCTATGGCAATTAGGATTATGAAGTCGGTCTAGTGCAACGTGATCTGGTTCAAATGCTAACTTTACCATGATCATAACAGTGTTTATCCCATATCTCTACCACACCTTTTCCGCACTCTGTTCCTCATTAACTGTCTTTTCCCACACTTCCACAACTGTTTTATTTATTCTTGACTGACACTTTGATATCATGTCCAATTTTTCATAAGGTTACCCTAATTTACTCTATTCATTTATCGTGACTCTATAACTTGTTGTGAACCAAATATTTTGCTTATACATTTATTGGACACCAGCTTAGGCTTTATATCAACCTTTTGGTTAATCAAACTATATACGCAAATGACTGAAGCAATATTGAGAATAGGTTTCTCTGGATTTCCACTTTACTTCATATTCCCTAATAATTATTTGCTTGAGAGCTTTTTAACTTTTATCGTGTCGAAATGTTAGGCTTCAGTGTTGCGCAACCAATTGCTTTTCGAATCAAATTTTGAATAAAGGTTTCAGCGATCGGTATTGGGATTAGATTAAAGTTTTTTGTATAAACCATCTCTACTTGTGTTTTTCCACAGGTGGCGTTGAACCCTCAGATTATTACAATCGCGCTCTCAATCTAGTGAAGGATTTACTTGACGGTGGAGAAGATATAGCGACATATGAAGACCGTCTACGGGATATGTTTGGCATCTTCGCATACCCTTGGTTCACTCTGGACCGACTTGTGATCAATATTGTACGTCAGCTTCAAGCTCTGGCTAGTGGTGACGAACTGAGTCGCCGGTTGACCAATTTATATCGATCATGGACATGCGGAGCAAATTATTCCGCATCCGGTACCGTCCCCATGACGCATCGATTCAATCATGCGGGAATGTCAGGTGCTTCTAGCAGCGGTTCCTTTATTACCTTACCGCAACACAGGTATGTTTCTTATTTACTCCGTGTTTTTGTTTTCTCCGCTCTTCGCTTTTAAATGTTTTGTAACTTTAACCTTCAACCCATTGCAATAATAGATCACCGAATTCCGTTGCTTTTACCGGATCTACAAGTTCGCATTTCATTTATTACTGCTCATCAGTTGAGTTATACATGTGGCATACACATTTTTCAGGAATTATCAAAGTGAAACAGTTTAGTGATCTGATGAGAGGAATCAAAACTGTGAATAACAAACTGGAATCACATTGCCCGTGACGTTTTCATTAAGCACAGATGCATGGTTTTAATCATTTCGCTCGGTCTAGGTATAATAGACCAATAGGAAAAGTTTCGACTGTGACAGTGGTGCACAACTCGCTGGTTTCTGTTTGTTGAAGGTGACGTGGTTTGCAGTTTGGAACTAATGATGGTTGATTTTATAACAACGCATTAGATGGTCTACATAAACCCGGAGATGTCTCCAAGTTTCCACTTTGGATATTCAAACACCCATCGATGATCAGTGATTTGTCAATGGATAGATGGGGGCAATTCAAAATGATTGTTTGCTTCCTAAAAGGTTTACCATATCCTAAGTGCGAGTTTAATTTTCGACCTAACTGTTAAAGTTGTTAACGCAGTCACTGCCTCTGGTGTATCGGATTATGACAGAACATTATGCCATGTATACCGTTTATTTTTCCTTTACTGTTCCCTTTCAATAGCGGTATTCGCGGACCCCTTCGCACTCGAGTTTGTCGAATGACCAACGAGGCGACTTATAGAAATCAAGCGCTTTTCGTTTGTGGTGAATTTGCTGGTCCGAGTGGCAGCAATGCAAACCTTTCTAACAGCATCACGGC